GTCTGAAGCCCAAAGCGGACCGGGAGCCAGCACGTCCCAAGGAGCCACGCAAACCCCGGCCGCACGGCTTTGCCCGATCCCGCATGACGCCCACCCACCGGGTTGAGCATGTGGTGGAGCAGTGTCCCGACTGCGGGACCCACTTGTCCGGAGGCTGGGCCCAGCGCACTCGGGAGGTCATCGACCTGCCCCAGGTTCCGGCGCAGGTAACCGAGCACGTTTACCTGGCCCGCACCTGTCTACAGTGCCGACGCTGCCGTGTTCCCAAAGCACAACTGGACGGCGTGGTGATGGGCAAGCAGCGTCTGGGGGGTCAACGTCATCAGCCTGATTACAGCCCTGCGGGAGGAGGCTCGGCTGCCGTTGCGCACCATCCAATGGTGCCTGGACACCGTGCATGGGCTGCGCCTCAGCTTGGGCGCCATCGTAAATGCCACACGCACCGTGGCGGGCAAAGCGCAGACCGAACTGGCGGGCATACTGGAGCGCATCCGCGGCAGCCCAGTGGTCCACGCCGATGAGACCGGCTGGCGTGAAGACGGACACAACGGCTACGTGTGCGAGCCCTTGACCAATCACCTTCAGCACCCCAGACCAGCGGTACTTCCTGCGGCGTGGTCGGGGCAAGGCGGTGGTGGATGAGGTCCTGACCGAGAATTTCGCCGGTGTGCTGGTCAGCGACTTCTATGCTGCCTACCACCATTGCCGCCTACCCCCATTACGACGGTCCCAAGCAACGCTGCTGGGCTCACCTGCTGCGGGACATCCACGACCTGCGTGTCCTCTACCCAAATGATGGATCACTGGCCCAGTGGGCTGACGCCGTCCACCAACTCTACCGCCAGGCCACGACCTTTACCCACCCTTCAGAGCCACAACGCCTCACCGCTCAACTGGCCTTGGAAAGACGATTGCTGGCCCTCTGCCATCCCTTCCTGAATGACCCGTCGGCCGTCCAGGCCAAGCTGTGCCGACGCGTGGAGAACCACATCAAGGGACTCTTCGTCTTCGTGGTCCACTCAGAAGTGCCGCCGGATAACAACGCCGCCGAGCGTAGCCTGCGCCACCTGGTGGTCAGCCGCAAGGTCAGCGGCGGCACTCGCTCCAACCCAAGCACTAACACCAAGATGACCCTGGCGTCAATCTTCGGTACCTGGCGGGCACAAGGTCGCAACACCCTCACGCTGCTTGCCTACAATGCTCACTTCCCCTCAACTCCGAACTGCTACCGGGAGAAACGTATCAATGGAGTGTCACACGGTCAGCGCGCGAAACTAGGTCGCTACACTGGTCAGCATAAATGTCATATTCCCTCTCTGAGCATGTTGTGACGTGAACCAGAAAGAGCCAAGCAAGCGAGACTCTCTCAGTTCTGACAAAAAACAAAGCCTGGGGGCATAGAGCCACGTCAGGACGTGGACACAGGCAGCCACAGTGAGGTGGAGTGAGCACGCGCCAAACACGACGTGGATCCTGGCGGCGTACGGAGGTGAGGGTGTCCGCGCCGCTAGGCTCACGGCCACCGTGGTCGTCGGCCGCCACAACCGCAACACCGGAGACAACCAAAGCCGAGGGATTACACCGGCCAGCACCCGCTATTGGGAACCAACACACCCCACTGACGACGAATTGCTTGGAGAGCGCGAGGGTATCGACATCGACCGACCAGTACGCCTACGGGCAGCATTTACTGGTGGCGGCTGGTGAACAGCCCGCGCCGTAGCCGTACGCCGACCAACATCGGGGTGCGTCGCCAGCGAATGAACGCAGGCCGGGATGCTGCTGATAAGACTGACGGACGGCAGCTTCACCGCGTGGTGGGGGTGGGGGCAGGCGGAGCACGCCAGTTCCGTGCTGTTGGCGGTGGATGACGCCACCGGCGCCGTGGGTGAACGCCCCTCTTCTGCCGAGCGGGAAGACGCACGCCCACTATTTCGTGATGGATTTGCGGAGTCTGGGACACAGAGCTACGCGCCCCCGGTTGCCTCTAAGTCGAACGGCACGCGTTCTTCAAGCCACACGCCCCCACACGGGTCTGGGCTTCGCGGTGCGCAACCAGATTCAGCCGCCGCGCCATGGTGAGCTGGGGATCCCAGCTGATATTCGCCACTGTCGCCCCAGGCGAAGGGTCGCGTGGAACGAGCGTGGGAACGTATTTCAGGATGATGGTGACGCGGAACTCAGACTGGCTGGCGCCGACAACCATCGCGGACGCCTGACCACGTCTGCAGGGTTTTCTGCACGCTTCAACGCCACGATTCAACGTTTCCGCCGCAATGCCCGAGGCCGCTACCACCCCCACTGGCATAGACGTGGCCTGGACCGTAGCCTCTGCTGCAAGAAAGCCACCGCAGGAAGGTGGTGGCCCGGGAAGACACGCGTGAAGTTCCAGTTGCACACCACTGCCCAGTTGCGCCGGCCACAATGTCCCAGCTATGACCGGGTGCCGTGGGAGGTCCTGGAAGGACTGCCGATGGTCCGTCATCCCTGCAACACCAGGGAGCACCCACCCTGTCAAGAGGCGCCGCCCAATCCGGTTTCAGGAGAAAAACCGGTTAACGATAATCCCCACACCTTGCCAGGCACCCCCGTTCCGGTCATGGCCATCCGGACGCGGTCTGGGCGACGACCCCTCCCAACTCGAAACCAATTGTGCGAAAGAAACCCGCGCCTGACCCGATGCTGACCGCGGGGACCCCGCAGCCGGCAAGGTGGCAGCCATTGCGCATCGGAAGCCCCTACGTTTCTCCAAAAGCCCCGCTGGAAGGCCATACAGAAGGCGAAGCGCTAAAGGCAGGCCATCAGAGGTGATAGCGCGGGAGCTGAGGAATTCAACCGGTGGGCCACGGTGAAGGAATACATCGACGCCGATTACCCCACCGAGCGGCAAGTCCGCCAGCGCGTTCGTCAACAAACTACGCCAACACCTGATTACCACTAATGGCGGCATAACCGACAGTGAACATTTATCCTGAAACTTATCCGGACAATTTAACGATGACCTTCGACAATGGAGCGAGGAATGTGTCCACGTGGGTGTTCGCCTGAGTGGGGATGTCCTTGTTTAGTATGAGTGCTACTAAGAGTGGTGTGACAATAGGATCAGCATGGCTGGAGCCGTCTTGAGCATCCGGTGACCATGGCGACATGCCCCACCATGCTTCGCTGCTCTCTGGGACGCTCCTCGTCCCCGAGTCTTTGCTCAACCGTCGGCATCGGACTCAGCAGGCCGAGGGTGCGTCTCCACCACCCGCCGCCTGGGCAACACCCGTTCGAAGGGAGTGGTGTGGCTGTCGGTGGGTTGCGCTTGACTACGGTCAGCAGCCAATCACCGGTGCCCAGGCCCACGACACCAGTCGGCCAGCGTAGCCAGCATCGGCCCAGATCACCTGCAACCGGGGGGAACCGCCCCCAACAGTTTGACCAGCACCAACTTGGCGCCGTCTCGGTCCTGAATGTTGGCGGGATGAACCACCACCGCCAGCAGTAAACCCCATGGTGTCCACCACGATGTGCCGCTTGCGTCCAGTTACCCGTTTGCCCGCGTCCGTAACCCCGCGGCCCCCTTTTTCGGTGGTCTTCACCGACTGGCTGTCAATGATGCTGACTGTCAATGATGGCCGCGCTGGGCGTAACCTCCCGTCCCGCAACTTCCCGAACCCGGGCCCGCAAGGCTTCCTCCACCCGTTCCCAGGTGCCGTCATCTCGCCACTTCCGGAAGTACCACCAGACGGAAGTACCACCAACTGTGCCCCAGGGCGGCAAGTCATGGGGGCATCAGACGCCAGGTTATGCCGCCGCGCAGCACGTACAGGATGCCGTTGACCACCTCACGCAGGTCTGTGGTCCTGGGATGGCCTCTCCTGGTGTCGGGCGGCAACAAGGGAGCCAATTCCTCCCACTGGGCGTCGGTGAGATCGCTGGGATAAGGTTTTCTGCTCATGCCCCCAGCGTAACCAGCACCCCATCCTCACCCCAAGAACCCACCTTACGGGTTTCACCTATTGTCACACACCCTCTGAGAGCCTATCCTAATGACCCGGCGGCTCTGAGGGCGATGAGGGCGCAGGCGAAATGAAGAAAGGCGATGTAGTTATCCGGGGATTTGTCCCAACGGACCAGGATGCGCCGGAAACGGTTCAGCCAACTGTGCGTGCGTTCCACCACCCAGCGGCGGGCTTTGAACCCAGCCTCCCTTTTGATGGCCTGAGCCTCTTCGCCCCGGCTGCGGATGTGGGCGGTGAAGCCGAACTCGTCCAGAGTGCGGCGCACCTCGGCGAAGTCATAGCCCTTGTCCAGGCACAGCCCTTGGGGATGCTCCGGGCTGGGCGTCGGTCGGGGCATCCCCACGCTGTCCACCGTGGCCCGCACCAGCTTCATGTCGTGGCGGTTGGCCCCGTCCACCGCCAGGCCCACCGGAACCCCCAGGGGCTTCAGTCAACCGACTACGCTTGACCCCAATCTTACCTCGGTCGGTGGGATTGCGGCCGGTTTTTCCCCCACCCAAAGGAGCTTTGGTCATGGCCCCGTCCATACTCAGCCAACTCCAGTCCAACCCTTGCAGTTCGTCGTAACGTTCCAGACCCACCCGCCACAGTTCCCGGAACACCCCAGCGGCAACCCACTCCTGAAAGCGCAGATGGGCCGTGGACCCGGAGCAGATGCCGGTGGCGTCCAAGGCCTTCCACTAGCAGCCGGTGCGCAGCACGTAGAAGATGCCGTTGGCACAGGTCCGGTCCGGTACTCTGGGCCGGCCGCCGCCGAAACGATGGGTGTTCACACGTTTGGGCATCAGGGGAGCCAACACCTCCCAAAGCTCGTCGGATACCTGAAAAGAGCCGGTGGTGGCATTGGCTGGGGTGGCTGGGCCGGCACGCTTCGGACGCGGCGGCTTGGGATCGTTCGCTTTGGTCATTGCCCCAGCCTAGCCGAACACCAGATTACGTTCTTGCCATACGCCGGCAAACTTCCACCAGTTTTTAGGATAGGCTCTTATCGGGTCAGTAGGCTGCCATTATGATCTGCATCCCGGGCCGCAGTCTGGCGCGCCACTGCCGGTCAAGATCGTCGCTCCACTCCGGGTCCAGGGCCTTGGCGGTTTCACAAACGCTGTCCAGCCAGAGCTCGTAGAAGCTTGGCAGCACGTTCCGGTTATCCCGGTTATGCGCCTCCCCCAACCGCTCCAACAACTCCCGCATCTCCGGCTCCGTGACATGCTGAGACACCATCGTGTACACCGAATCCCGCAGTAATGTCCTCTGCCTTTCGAAGTCGGTGGCGGCAAAGTGCGGCGCGATGTCAGGAGAGGAATTCAGGAAGGTGTTTAGAAGACCTCCGCAAAGTTCCCGTTGGCTTCGCAGCGCTCCAGTCTATCGCGCACAGCCTCCTCCGCGAAAGCTCCGGGCGTTCTCATGTGGAGGTCAGGGTCCGGTTCCCGGAAGAAGTCAATCCGACAGCGCAGGGAGCTTTCTTCTTTCAGTAAGTGAGGGACTTCCGGATGGATGATGATGTGATCCGGCGCGGAGATAATTCGTTCGGCGCCAGCCTGAAGGTCCACGAAGGCGATGCTCCCCTCGAAGGCGTGCAGCACAGCCCAATGTTGAGCGGGGCAGCGCGTGCTCTCGCCGGAGGGAATCCGGCATCGTATCCTCGGTGAAGATGAGCGACCCGCCGCTCAGAACCAGGCCGGAAGGCAGGCGATCCATAACCATTGGGGAACCTCCTTGATGATGGTGCCGTTACTTGCGATTCTTTCACTGCTCGTGATATTGCCATCACGACGACCGGCGTCGCCGGGAACTCCATGCATCAGGATAGCATCGGCAGGGCACTCCAAGTGAGTACATTTAAAGGACGGAGAGAAACTGTAACGCGGTGGCGGTCTTTCGGCATCGATGTATCGCCTCACCGTGTTTCTGATGCAAAGCGGCGGGCACTGACAATGTTGACCCGGTAACCTGGCAGAACCCGCGACCGGTAGGTTAGTTGATTGGCAAACCCTGCCACTTTTCGGGCGCAGTCACTTTACTTCCTCATGCGGGTAGTCCTGCATTGATGACGCCGGCAGGTTGTTCTGGCAGAGTTCGTTAAGGGGTGTCGTCAAATAGGGAGATGATGGTAAATTGCTGTGGTGAGTGTGAGTGATAGGGGTGGGGGTATGACAGCATCACATCGTCGTCATGATCTTTCTGATCGGGTTTGGGAGCGGTTGCGGGTTCACCTGCCTGGAGAATCCGGCCGGGTGGGGCGGCCCGCCCATGACAACCGTCGCTTTATCGACGCCGTCTGCTGGATCCTGCGCACGGGCGCCCCTTGGCGCGATCTGCCCCCGGACTACGGGGACTGGAAGAACACCCACCGCCGCTCCTGCCGCTGGCGGGACCGGGGCGAGTGGGCCAGGCTGCTGGAAGCGGTGATGGATGACCCGGATTTCGAGTGCCGGATGATTGACGCCCGCTATATCAAGGCGCATCCGCACAGTGCCGGCGCCCGGGGTGGGAGCCAAGCCATCGCCCGCGCAAAAGGGGGCTGAACAGCCAGTTGCACCTGGCGGTGGACGCCCACGGAATGCCGGTAGGTTGGGGGTTACTGGAGGCACGGTGGCCGACTGCTCTTTGGCGTTGCCCCTGATCGAGGGTATAGAAGCGGAATGGCTGCTGGCGGACAAAGCCTATGACACCAATGAAATCATAGCCACCGCTCGGAAACGGGAATGAACCCGGTAATACCGCCCAAAAGCAACCGGAGGGAAAAGCGGGACTATGACCGGGCGCGGTACAAGTTGCGGCACTTGGTGGAGAACGGGTACTTGGAATTCAAGCAGTGGCGCGGGGTGGCGACCCGTTACGCCAAAAGGACGGCATCATACTTGGCCGCCTGCCAACTCCGGGCAGTGACGATCTGGAGCAGACTCTTTTGACGACACGCCCTGGCAGCTGCTCCGGGAGTTGCGCGACATTTCGGAGAGGATCGCGAGGCACGCATCTTTGGAGAACCAGCGATCGGGATCTTGTCACTGGATCCCAGAGTGACAGAAATTACCCACTCGGATCTACTGCCACGTGTTTCCGCGGACCTGTCGGTCCAAACTTTTTCAATCCCGTCCGAACTACCACTGTGCTAAACTACGGCCATCAACAGATTGAGCATTTATATTCACCCACGGAGCCATGCCACCATGACCGCTACGACCAAAGACCCCATCCTCGTCGTCATTCAGCTTACTGGCGGCAACGACTACATGAACACGGTCATTCCCTACGCCGACGGCCGCTACCACCACAACCGGCCCACCGTGGGGATATCGGCCGACCAGGTGCTGCCCATTGATGACCACTTCGGGTTCAACCCGGCGGTTCCTGAGATCAAGACCCTCTACGACGCCGGCAAGGTCGCGGTGATCAACGGCATCGGCTACCCCACGCCGAACCGCTCGCACTTCCGCAGCATGGACATCTGGCACACCTGCGAGCCGGAGAAGGTCGGCACCGAGGGCTGGCTGGGCCGCGTCATCCGTGACCTCGACCCCAGGGCCGAGAACGTGCTGACGGGCGTCAACTTCGGGCGTGGCCTGCCTCGGGCGATGGCGCTCACCGGCGTCCCCGTGGCATCGGTGGCCGTGCTGGAAACCTACGGCGTGCTCACCGGCATCGTCAACGAACCGGAGCGCTCGCAGGCTCTGGACATCTTCGCGCGCATGTACTCCCCCACCGTCGGCCTCGGCGCGACCATGGACTACCTGGGCCAGACCGGGCTTGATGCCCTGAAGGGCGCGGACATCCTCAAGGCCGCTCCCGATTTGTACTCCTCTGCTGTGGAGTACGCCGATAGCGGCATCGCCCGCAACTTGCAGGGCATAGCGAAAGTGCTCACCGCCAACTTGGGCACCCGCGTGTTCTACACCCAGCAGGGCGGCTATGACACCCACGCTAGCGAGACCGACGTCCAACCCAAGCTGCTGGCCGACCTCAGCCGCGCCGTCAGCGATTTCCATGCCGACCTGCGCGAACACGACACCGCCGACAACGTGGTCATGCTCGTGTTCACCGAGTTCGGCCGCCGGGTCAAGGACAACGGCAGCGGCACCGATCACGGCAGCGGCGGCCTGGCCTTCGCCATCGGCGACCCGGTAGCCGGCGGAATGTACGGAGACTATCCGTCCCTCGCCGAGCCTGACCTGATCGAGGGCGACCTGGCCTTCCACACCGACTTCCGCGGGGTGTACGGCACGCTGGTGGAACAGTGGCTCGGCCTGGACGCGCAATCCGTGGTGGGCGGCAACTTCGAGCAGTTGTCCTTTGTTTAGGCAGTTATGGCAGTGCGCAACGGGATCCTACTTCCCGGGTCCATAGTCGGGAGAAAAGGAATGGGAACTTTCAGCCTCCCATTCTCGATAAGCAACGCTGATGGGACGGGTTCGTTGACTCTGGAAGGGATGGTAGACACGGGGTCACTCTACTCAGTCGTGCCAGGGTCAATCTTGGACGAATTGGGCATAGCCCGCGACGAAGAGGAAACTTTCAGCTTGGCCGACGGCTCCCTGGTGGAGATGGACATAGGATTGGCCTTGATGACATTGGAAGGCCGATCCAGGACCGTTCATGTGGCTTTTGGCACCGACGACGAGATAATTCTGATCGGTGCAATGACCTTGGAGCGTTTCGGGGCCGCGGCAGACCCGGTGAATCAACGATTGGTGCCAGCCAGGATAACTCTGTGATCCTACGGGGTGAGCCATGACCACCCGATCCAACGGTTCCCAACCTGCCGCCTCGCCCGGCTCGGCAATCTACGTTGATACCGAGAACCTGCGGGAGTCCGAGCACGCCCAAATCGTAGTCTCCCGTGTCGTTGCCAACTGGCCGGCGGACCGCCCGCCGTTGAGTGGTCTTTCCCTGTACGTGCGGGCCGACAAAGCCGAGCTATGGCAGCTTTGGGCTGAGACCGAGTATCCCGCATTGCACGTTCGCGTCCGGGGCGTTCAACACTTCAGCAACCACCGGGCCAAGAACTCTGCCGATCTGGCCATTACCGCGGACGCCATTTGCCGATCTCATCACCGGCCAGGCCGGTACGGTCGCAGTGGCGAGCAACGACAGCGACTTTGGCGCGCTCTTCGTCAAGGTTCGTGAGTTGGCGGCGGCTGACCCTCACGACATCCCGTTCCTGTGGATCACCGCGCCCGAAGCCGGAGGTTTGTCCGGCGAAATCGAGCAGTTCATTCCCGACCGCTACCGCTGGGACCTGTCGGCTGCTCCGGCGCCGGTGTCGCCAGCCGTATCTCTGGTACCGGAGGTGGCCGCGCCCCCGCCGCCGCGCAGTCTGCCCCAAGCGGCCCGGCCCGCCCTGCAGTCTGCGGCCTCCCAGACGCCGGTCAGCGATGAAGCAGTCGCGGAAGAATTGCTGCGGCAGCTACCCGTGGGGCGTTTCCGCGCCGGCGACGCCCAGCAGGTGGTCAGTCGGCGCTGGCCGGAGCATCCGGCCGCCGGCGAAGCTTCCCGGTTCGGGCTGTTCCTGCTCAACCGGATCTGGCCTCTGCTGGAAAAACGCGGCGTCACGATGCCTCGCCAGGGCTCGCCTCGCACCTACGAAATTACACCGGGGTCCCCGGGCGCCGTGGCGAAGCAGGTGCCCCGGCAAGAAACCAAGCCAGCCATGACGGCATCGCCGGAACCCACGCCCGAGCCCAGCCTTGCCCAGTTGGCCGCCACCGTCGCCGCCGGCATCACCGACGACGTGTTCAAGGCATCCGATGCCCAGGCCGCCCTGAAAGGCCGGACACCCCCGCATCCTGCCGCGTCCTTCACGGCGGCGCAATTCGGGATCTGGTTCGCCAAGCAACTCTGGCCCATCATGGAGGAACACGGCGTCACCATCGCCAAGGAAAAACCGCGCCGCTATGAGATGACCCCCGACGCGCGCCACAACCTGATCGCCCTTGCCTGACCGGCGGAGCCTGAACCATGCCTGACCGAGAACGCCTCGTCCGAACCGTCACCGAACTGATCCGGATCGACAGCCCCACCGGGGAGGAGGACGCCATCGACGCCCACCTCTCGGCGCGGCTCAGTGACCTTGGGGCGGCGGTGCAGCACGATGCCTACGGCAACCTGGTGGCCACGCTGCCCGGCAACAACGGCAGCGCCGGCGAACCGCCGGTCATGCTGTCCGCCCACATGGACACCGTGGAGCCGGGCCGAGGCATTCAACCCAGCCTGGACGCCAACGGGGACACCCTGCGCTCCGACGGAACCACGATCCTGGGCGGCGATTGCAAGGCCGGCCTGGCCATCGTCCTGGAGGGCATCACCGCCGCCATGGAAGACGGCGGCCTGGGGCGTTCGGTGCAGGTCGTGTTCTCCCGCGCCGAAGAAGGCGGCCTGAACGGAGCGCGCAACCTGGATTTCTCGCTGATCAACGCTACCAACGGCATGGTGTTCGACGGCGAAGGTCCGGTGAGCCGCATCTGTGTCGGCGCGCCGGCGCAGAACGTGGTGCAGTGCCGCATCACCGGCGTTGCCGCCCATGCCGGCCTGGAACCGGAAAACGGCGTGTCGGCCCTGCTGGTTGCCGCGAACATCCTCACCCGCCTGCCGCTGGGTCGCATTGACCATGAGACCACCAGCAACATCGGCGTGCTGGAGGGCGGTCTCAAGCGGAACATCATCCCGGAGCAGGCGTTCATGGACGGCGAACTGCGCTCCCGGGACCAGGCCAAGCTGGAGAACTATACCGCCGAGTTTCGCCGAGCCTTCGATCAGGCGGCCGCCATGTATCCGCGCGCCCAGATTGACCTCGACATCCGGAACCAATACCAGGCTTATCGTGTTCTGGAGACCGACCCCGCCTTGATGGACATCGCGCGGGCGGTGACCGCCGCCGGATTGGCTCCGGCGTTGGAAACCACCGGCGGCGGGTCCGACGCCAACGTCTTCTTCGAGCATGGCATCGTGGCCCTGCCCGTGGGCATCGGCGTTCGGGACTCCACACCACGCGAGAACCGCCAGCATCAACGAGATGTACGACGCTGCCGTGGTGTGCCAGAAATTCATCCGCCCCGCCTGACCGCACGACGGCTCCACCGGTTGTCGGCAACGCCTCGCAGCGGGCCTGTAGAGTCATGCGACATTGCTATCATATCATTGTGAGCGACAGCGTGGCAATCTCGTCGCCGTAGCAACGCCGCTTGCCAAAAACCGAGGCGTTGCCCCGCGGCCGACGCCTCGTGTCGTCCCCCATGACGACAATCGACAGACCCTGAGCGGGCCTCGGTCGCCGGCCGTCTGCGGAAGCTTTCTCATATATAATGTTCGGTCACCGGAGATGAGCGAGGGTGGCCGCTGCCGTTGCTGATCCCTGCCGCATCAATCTCAAGGAACATTCCAAGGAGCAGCCAAATGGCCGACGAATTTGTCAAGATAGCGTCTCTCAGCGACATACCGCCGGGCGACATGATGTCCGTCCGCGTTGGATCGGAAGAGGTCCTGCTGGTGAACCTGGACGGCCACCTGCACGCCTGCGATGACATCTGCACCCACGCCTATGCCAACCTGTCCGAGGGAGACCTGGAAGAAGGCGAGGTGGTTTGCCCGCTGCACGGCGCCGTATTCGACGTTGCTTCCGGCAAGCCGGTGACTCCTCCGGCCACCGAGGCCCTGCGCAAATTTGCCGTCCGCGTCGAGGGCGACGACGTACTGGTCGGCCCGGTTATCGAAGCGGATTAACGACCGCCGGTCCCAGTTCCTGAATCCTGATCGGCCGGCGCCCAGACGCCGGCCGCAGACGTAACCCGCCGTCCGGCGCTAGTCGGGGAATCCCCACGCCGAACGTGGCCAGTAGATCGCCCACACCTTGCCGATGATGTGGTCCGCCGGCAGCGGGCCCCAATGCCGGGAGTCCCGGCTGCCGTTGCGGTTGTCTCCGAGCACGAAGTACTCGTCATCGGCCAGTTGGATGTCATGCATCCTGGTGCGGCCGAAAATATCCAGGTAGGGCTCGTCCAGCGTCTCCTGGTTGACGCTGACCTGCCGTTGTCGATGGCCACCAGGTCTCCCGGCTCCCCGATGATCCGCTTGACGAACTGACGGTCCGGTTCCAGCGGGTAGTCGAAGACGACCACGTCGCCCCGTTTGGGGGGCCTGACCGTGTGCACCAACCGGGGCTCTTCCGGCTGCCAGAAGGGGATGATCTTGCCCAGGCGTTCCGTGTCCAACTGGTAGTACACCAGCTTGTTCACCATCAGGTAGTGACCCGGCAGCAACGTGGGCTGCATGCTGGAGCCCTCGACCCTGAAGTTGGCCACCGCCACCTGGATCGCGACGAATACGACGATGCCTATGAAGGCAGCCTCGGCAAGTTCGCGCAGCCAATTGGTTTGGTTCATCTGTTGGTCTGGTTCATCTGATGAATGTGCCCGGGGTTCCGGGTTTATTGTAGCAAAGGGCACGTCGCGGGGAGCGGATTGAGCGTCTGTCCGTCGGCGTATTGCGGCAATTGCCCTTGCAGCAACGGGAACCGACCGCCGTTGGAACCGGTGTCGGGGTGTCGCCGGCTGCGCCGCGCGTCCCGGCGTTGACTAGAATCGGTCTGCCCAATTACCATTACCATCCGATTGTCCCGCTGCATTGGTCGGACTTCGCGCCGGCTGCCATGCCCTCACCGCAACTTAATGCAAGGTGCTGCCATGTCAACGATCGAAGAACTCAAGGTATTCACCGGCAACGCGCATCCCCAACTGGCGAGGGATGTGTGCGATTACCTGGGAATTCCCCTGGGAGAGAGCGAGACGTTCAAGTTCGCCAACGACAACACCTTCGTTCGCATCGGCGAGAACATCCGCGAACGGGACGTGTTCATCGTCCAGCCCACCGTCGCGCCCACCAACGACAACCTGATGGAACTCCTGATCATGATCGACGCCTGCAAGCGGGCGTCGGCCGGGCGGATCACCGCGGTGGTCTCCTACTACGGTTACGGGCGCACCGACAAGAAGGACCAGCCTCGGGTGCCGATTACCGCCCGCTTGGTGGCCGACCTGATCACCACCGCCGGCGCCGACCGGATGCTCACCCTTGACCTGCACGCCGGCCAGATCCAGGGCTTCTTCAACATCCCGGTGGACGAGCTGACCGCCGAGCCGCTCCTGTCCAACTACTTCGCGGAGAAGGGGCTGGAGGACCTGGTGCTGGTGGCCGTCGACTTCGGCATCAGCAAGCGGGCGCGGGACATGGCGGGGCGACTGGGCGTGCCGGTGGCCGTCATCGAGAAGCGCCGCACCGCCAACGACGACCGCTCCGAGACCCTCAACGTCATCGGCGACGTGCGCGGCAAACGCGCCCTCACTTTTGACGACGAGATCCTCACCGGCGGCACCATCGTCAACGCGGCCAACGCCCTGCTGGAAGCCGGCGTAACCGAGGTGTTCTGCTGCGCCACCCATCCGGTATTCGCGCCGGCCGCCCCCAGGCTCCTCAAGGAAAGCGCCTTCAAGGAAGTGGTGGTGACCGACTCCGTGCCGCTGTCCCCGGACCAGAAGGTCAATAACCTGACCGTGCTGTCGATTGCCCCGCTGATCGGCGAGGCGATGAAGCGCATCCACGAGGGCCGGTCGGTGGGAGAACTGTTCCAGTAAATCGTCCGGTGGACCGCTGGCGCCGCTGAACTCGAGCTAAGCCCAACTGCCGGCATTCGGTATTCCCGAGTCCCCCGTGCACCAGGGCCACTCGATTATCCCAAATGTCATTGCGAGCGAAGCGTGGCAATCTCGTTGCCCTAATGCGGGTTCTTGCCGAAACGGGTTCTTGCCGAAAGCCGTTGCATTGCTCCGCGACTCCCGCGTCGCTTCAATGCCACAACAATAGAATGACCCTGCCCCGTGCACGCCCGCGCTGGACATACCTTGGTCGGGTGGTTATCATCGTTGGACAGGCTGCAACGCGGATGTGCGCCCGGAGGAGGGTAGGCCGCGCCAGCGCCTCGTATCGGCCAGGAGGACGCCTATGGTCGCCGTCACCAGCGAGTCCACCGATCTGATCGCTCGCGTTTCCGAGTACGTGGAGGATGCGAGCCAACTGGAACGCATCAGGTCGGCCTACGACTTCGCGGACCGGTGTCACGATGGGCAGATGCGGCGGTCCGGCGACCCTTATATCGTGCACCCACTGGCGGCCGCCACCATCCTCGCCGACCTGTTCCTGGACCCCGACACCATCATGGCGGCCCTGCTGCACGACGTGGTGGAAGATTGCGGCGTGGACGTGGACGAACTGAAGTCCCGCTTCGGGGCCAACGTGTCCCGCCTGGTTGACGGCGTCACCAAGCTGACCCGCGTCGACTATCGGCCGCCTGATGCAGAGGCCAATGGCTCCGCGCCGATGGAGAACCTGTACGCCGAAAGCCTGCGCAAGATGCTGGTGGCCATGGCCGAGGACATCCGCGTGGTGCTCATCAAGCTCGCCGACCGGCTCCACAACATGCGCACGCTGGACGCACTCCCCGAAGATAAGCGGCGGCGCATTGCCCAGGAGACCCTGGACGTTTACTCTCCCCTGGCCCATCGGCTAGGGATTTGGGAGTTGAAGTGGCAGCTTGATGACCTGGCCTTCCGGCACCTGAATGAAACCCGCTACCGGGAGATTTCCCGGATGCTGGCGGTACGCAGGTCCCAGCGCGAGGCCTACGTGGCCGACGTTGCAGATCGGCTGAAGGCTGAGTTGGCGGACAATCTCCTCCGCGCGGACGTGAACGGCCGGCCCAAGGGTATCTACTCCATACACAACAAGATCGAGAAGTACGCGGCCGAGGGCAAGGAACTCAGCGACATCTACGACCTGTACGCCCTCCGCGTCGTCGTCGACGAGATGGCCGATTGCTACACCGCCCTGGGTATCGCCCACCGCATGTGGAGCCCGATCCCCGGCCAGTTCGACGACTACATTGCCACGCCGAAGAAGAACATGTACCAGGCGCTGCACACCACCGTGCTGTGCGAAGGCGGGCACCCGCTGGAAGTGCAGATCAAGACCCGCGATATGCACCAGGTGGCGGAATATGGCGTGGCCGCCCACTGGCGATACAAGGAGCGGGGCGGTTCGCCCGGAGGAAACGCCACCTTTGAGGAGCGGATGACCGGGCTGCGCCAGCTGCTGGAATGGCAGAGGGAAACACCGGACACCGATGAGTTCCTGGAGCGGGTCCGCGAAGACCTGTTCCATGACCAGGTATTCGTCTACACCCCCAAGGGCGATATCATGGAGATGGCCGCGGGCGCCACGCCCATCGACTTCGCCTACAAGATCCATACCGACCTGGGCCACCGCATCTCCGGCGCCAAGGTGAACGGCAAGCTGATGTCGTTGGACACGCCCCTGCATAACGGCGACACCGTGGAGGTGGTTGCCGGAAAGACCGGGCGCGGGCCCTCACCGGACTGGCTGAACCCGGCGCGCGGATACGTGGCGACCAACGGTACGCGTCAGAAAATTCGCTCGTGGTTCAACCGGCAGGCCCGGAGCGCCAATATCAGCCGGGGACGCGAGCTCCTCCGGCGCGAACTGCGACGGATGGGCGTCAGGATGTCCGACCGCGCGGTCATCGAGGGGTGCCGCTACGAGACCATGGAGGACCTCCTGGCCGCCCTGGGTTCCGGCGAGCTCAGCGACTCCGCTCTCTCCGCGCGGTTGAGTCAGCACCGCAACGAGGAGATCGACGAGACGTCCTGGATGCCCAAGCTCCGGGGATCGACGTCGCTGTCCAGCCCGTCGTCCGGCATAACCGTGCTGGGCGTGGGTGACCTATTGACCAGCATCGCCCGCTGCTGCAATCCCATCCAGGGCGATCCGATCATCGGCTTCGTCACGCGCTCCCGTGGTGTCAGCGTGCACAAGGGAGGCTGCATCAACGTGCTCAACGAGGACGAGCAGGAGCGGCTGGTTCCGGTTTCGTGGGGGCAGAAGCGGGAACTGTATCCGGTCCGCATCCGCATTGAGGCCATGGACCGGGTGGGCCTGCTGCGTGACGTTACCATCAAGGTCTCGGACGACAAGATCAACATCGCCTGGGCCGTGACCCGCGAGAATGACGATGCCACGGTCAGCATGGAGTTCACCATCCACGTGAAGGACCTCGAGGAGCTGAACCGGGTGTTCTCCCGCATCGAGGGGATACGCGGGGTCACCTCGGTGAACCGCGTCACCAGTAGTCCCCTGAGGCAGACCGAGCGCTGATCGTCCCGGCACGGGATTGACGCGCTCGCCGGCTACCGGCGGGCAACTTGCCGAGCATTCCCAGCTTCTTTCCGGCGTTTCGGAGCCTGGCGGCGGCTAAACTGGGCTTTGCCGTTGCGGTTTTCCTGGGAATCCTGCTGGCGCCTACGCCCGACGGTCTCTCCGAGCCGGGGCAACGGGCTCTGGCGGTCATGGTTCCTGGCGGTGATCCTCTGGGCCACCGAGGCGATACCCATTGCGGTCGTCGGTGTCGTCGGTGTGGTGCTTCTGGTACTGGTGGGAGCCGTGCCCGACTTCGGAACGGCCCTCTACGGTTTCTCCCAGCCGGTGGCCTACTTCCTCGTCGGCATCTTGACGCTGGGGCTAGCCGTGCAACGCTCGGGGCTGGCGCAACGCATGGCGACATATCTGATGCGGGGAGCCGGTGGCAGCCCGCGCCTGCTGTACGTGCAGATGCTGTTCTCCTTCGCCGCGCTCACCTTTGCCCTGCCGTCGGCCAGTACCCGTGGGGCCATCATGGTCCACGTGTACGAGCAGGTGCTGCAGCACTGGAACGTACCGAGAGAACACCCGCTGTATAAGGCCATGATGGTGGCCATGGGCAGCCTCAACCGCCTCGGTTCCACCGCGCTGCTGGCCGGTGGGATCACCCCGGTCGTGGCCTCTGGCCTCCTGGGCGACTTTTCCTGGACGCAGTGGTTCGTGCTGATGAGCGTGCCTTTCTACGCCAATCTGGTCGTGGGCGGGACCGTGTTGTTCGTGTTCTACCGGTCCGGCTTCCGCCTGGATGACGCTGCTGTAGCCGCGTCCGTTTCGCTGGGCCGGATGAGCCCAACCGAGATGCGAGCCGCCGCCATCGTCATGCTGACCGCCCTGCTCTGGTTCACCGACTTTGCCCACGGCCTCCATCCGGCGGTGCCCGCGCTCATCGCCATGTGCTTGATCCTGCTCCCCCGGGTGGGCATCCTCACCTGGAGCGAATTCGAGCGGAACCTGGGCTGGTCCAACTTCTTCATCATCGCCTCGTCCCTTTCGCTGTCCCACACCCTGGTAACCACGGGCGCCGCGGCCTGGTTCTCGGAAACGCTGGTCGGAGGAGTATCGCAGTTGACATCCGCGCCCATGCTGATCCTGCTGGCGCTGTGCGTGTGTTTCGCCCTCCTGCGGATGCTGCTGCCCAACATCGCCGGCTACCTGGCGCTGGTGATACCCGTGACGATGGCCGCAGCCGAGTCCTTGGGCCTGGACCCGCTGGTGTGCGGCATGGCCGCCGTGGTGATCGGCGACTCGGTCGTCTACTACGGGGCCGGCGCGACCGCGAGCGTGTTCATATTCCAACGGGCCAACATCGCCCAATCCCGAGATCTTCCGGTTCGGGATCACCATGACCGTCATCGCCGCCGTCGTGCTCCTGTTCCTGGTGATCCCCTACTGGGGCCTGATCGGGCACCCGCTGGTACCGCCGTAACGCAGCCTACCAAAACAGGCTGATGATCACTGCCAACCCCATGGCGATCGCCACCACCACCACCGCGACGACCACCGTCCAGATGAGGATCCGCTTCATCCTACGCCGGCGTTGACGCGACCGCCGCAGGTCCGCGCGGTAGTCCCAGGGACGCCGGGCGCGGTTGCCGTCCCGCCAGACGCCGCGCCGCCGTCGTTTCGCCTCCGCCTCGGCCTCGGGAAACCCCAGGTCGCGTCCTCCGTAGCGCCGGTACCACCATGCCATGCCGGAGCGGACCATCTCCACGTTGACCGACTGGCCCCGCCGGCGCCGGCGGTAGAGCAGGCCCACCGTCCGCCCGTACCGGTCCGTCGCCATCGCCTCCATGCTGAATCCGCCGCGCCGCGTCAACGCCGCCAGCCGCTGGCGCGATTCCTGCCCGCGAGGCTGGGCCAGCTCCGGCGCGTCGATGCCGTAGAGGCGCACCGGAAACGGCCGCCGCAGGAAGCTGAACAGCCCCGCGTATTTCACCTCCAGCGAGTCGCCGTCGATAACCCGCCGTATTCGCACCCTGCGGGCCATCGCCGGGGCCGCTACACGGTCAGCGGTGTGTCGTCGCGGTTGGCCCACTCTCCCATGGACGCGTCGTAATTCCTGGCGTTCTCGAAGCCGAGGAGACGGAGTACGAAGTTGCCGTGCGCCGCACGGATGCCGGCCTGTCAATAGGAGTACGCCGTCTTGTCGGGCGTGATGCCGTGATCGGTGAGGATGCTGCGGATTTCCGCCGCCGGCTTGAACTCGTGGGTGTTGCGGTCCATGAGGTGGAACCATTCCAGGTGCACCGCGCCTGGCACGTGGCCGATCCGCTTGTTGCTATAGTTTGCGGCGGTGCCGTCCCACTCGGCATCGCTGCGCACGTCCCACACCACCACGTTATCCCGTGCCCCGCCGTCCAATGCGCAGGCCTCTTTCAGCTCGTCACCGGTGATGATGAACGACTCGTCCGCGCGCGGCGTGAAGGTCACCGACGCCGGAGCCTTGGGCCGCCCGAAGTCGACGGCCTGCCCCGCGTTGACCCAGGCCCGCCAGCCGCCGTTGAGCACCTTCACGTTGCTATGCCCGTAGTAACGGAACACCCACCAGATGCGCGCCGCCGTGAGCCCTTGGGCGTGGTCGTAGGTGACCACGGTGGTGTCGTCGCCGATGCCGTAACCCTCGGCCATGGCCTTGAACTGCTCCGGCGACATGACGTGCTGGCCGCGTGCCCCCGGTTCAATCGGGGTGTTGGGGTTCTTGGCCCAGTTGTCGGCGACGTGGGGTGCGCCGGGAATGTGCCCCCGCTGCCACGCATCGGCGGTGTTGGCGCAATCGAGCACGACCACGTCGGGGTCGTCCAGGTGCGCGGCGACCCACGCGGCGTCGGTCAGGTATTCGGGATGGGCGTAGCCGTCGGCGGGAGTGGTCATGCAAGGCTCCTGGAAGAGTGAGTTTGGCGGGATTGTAGGGTGCGGCGTGCCAGCGGGTCAACGCCGGTGCGAGTTGACCCGCTGGCCGCCGCCCCACACAATCAATCGCATCGGGGTTGGTTGGAAATCGGGGTTGGTTGGACATCGATGCTGGCCATGTGGAGGACGGCATGAAACTGCACGGCATTGTCGGAGTTCCATACACGGTGATATAACTATCGGAGAGGTCAAGAGATCGAGTGATAGCGAGGAACGATTTAAAGGTAGAGTTCTCAACGCTGACCTCCGACGATCTGGGTGCCGTTGATGACCTGATGAAACCTAACAGCCGAACTCTTGGCTTTATGCCGACTGAGGCACTCAACGACTACCTTCACAGGGGACGCGTCTTAGGTGCCAAGATCGGAGATGGACGGCTTATTGGGTACCTGCTCTATGCACCTAGTCAAAGTCGCTTCCGGATTGTTCAACTCTGCGTCTCGGAAGACTTTAGAGGTTGTGGCATCGCGAGCCGTCTCCTGGACGAACTCAAAAGTTTTGTTACGACTCAATCTGCCATAACCCTCAGTTGCCGCCGGGACTTCCCTGCCCATCAAATGTGGCCGCAATTAGGCTTTGTATCAATTGGAGAGAAGCCGGGTCGTTCCGCAGCTCGGCACCCCTTAACACTTTGGCACCTCAACCTGAACCCAGCCCATCAAATGGACTTGGGGCTGTTCAAGGCGAAGACATCAGATGAGACCGTCGATGTCATCATTGATGCCCAGGTGTTCTTTGACTTGTCTAATCCAGACAGCGGTGAATCGGAACGGTCCAGGGCTCTGCTATCTGATTTTTTGGTAGATTCCCTCAACCTTTGGACCACCGATGAATTGCTGAACGAGATCGATCGGAACGACGACCCCGACCAACGACGGGCAGAACGAGCCCGAATGCAGCAGTTTCCACACGTGACATATGCCCAGCACTTGGTTGATGACTTCTATAGTCGCTTAAGCAACCTCCTGCCCGACCGTACAGACAGCCAAGTTTCGGACATTAGGCATCTGGCGAAGGCTGCCTCTTCCGATGTGAATGTCTTTGTCACTAGAGACCGGTATCTACTGGGGAAAGCGAAGGAAATTGAAGATTTAACAAATCTTCGAGTGCTGTCCCCAACCCAGGTGATAATCGAGCTTCACGAACTCCTCGATGGGCAGTCCTATAGACCTGACCGCGTTTCTGGCCTTCGGCTAGGATGGCATCGCTTCACCGCCCGCGACCACGCATCTCTTCCGGTCGAGTCTTTCCTCAATGAAAAAGAAGGGCAGCGGCAGTTGAGAGCGGTACTGGATCGTTATCTTGAGCGTCCCAACGAATACCAGTGCGAGCTACTCAAAGCGGAGGACAACGATGTCGCAATCCGCATAATCCCCATCACTCCCAAAGGGGCAGTCACTGTTCCCTTGGCCAGAGTAGCGCGCACCGCCGACCGATCGCTGTTCGGACGTTTCTTGATCTCGGATACAATCGCCAAGGCGGTAGACAAGAACCAGGACATGGTCGAGTTCGAGTTGTCCGGGCTTACTCCCTCATTGGTATCGGACCTCATGGAGATGGGATTCAAACGATGTGGGGACACCTTTGCGAAGTTCTGTTTCGCACGCTGCCTCGACCGGGAAGATGCTGTCCACAAGATTACGACCCTATCACCTCAATTGGGAGCTTCGTATGACGCTATGTCAGACCTCGAGCTTGAACGCTACTGCGCTCCTGTTAGTCTGAATGCAGACCAGAATTATTTTCTGATCCCTATTCGACCAGGCTATGCCATCAGCTTGATCGACGGACCGCAGGCATCCAGGGACATGTTCGGTGGAGACCATTCGGTGTTGTTGCGGTGGGAAAACGTCTATTACCGAAAGGCCGCCACGTCGCGGAAGATTCTCAAGGCCCCTGGGCGCATTCTCTGGTACGTTAGCACCAGTCAGAAACAGATCGTAGCCGTATCCCATCTTGACGAAGTGGTGGTGGATACCCCCAAGGAGCTTCTCAGGAAATTCAAGAAGTTCGGGGTACTGGGTTGGGAGGAACTTTACGAAATGTGCGCCGGTGATACGTCGATGACATTGATGGCGCTGCGGTTTTCCCATACGTTTGTCTTCAGGAGGAGGATTCCATTGAATAAAGTGCAGGCAGTCTACAGAGAGGATGAGAGTGGCTTGACGGTGCAATCCCCGACGAGTATGCCAGCGAGCAGATTTCAGAAG